AAAGTGTTGGCTGATTGGTGGTTGGAGGTTTAAAGGGGTTTTGCCATCCCTTCAAGCTTGAGAAGATTTTTGAGTGATGAAATTTTGGCAGCAACCCAGGGTGGCATTTTATTAGGGGGCAGTCTAATGGGGTTCAACACTGTACTGTGTGCATCAAATATAAATAAAATATAAACAATTTCAAAAATTCGGTGTCTTCATCAAGCAAAATCTTTCAACTTTTGGAGTGAAGCTTAGAGGAGGGCCACACCCCCAGGCATATGGTGTGAAGGAACTTCTTGTGGTTACTACAGAAGATGTGGAAGCCTTTAAATAAAGAAATGCATGTTGTATAACCAGGATTGTAAGAATTATTTCAACTGTTAGAAACAATATGGGCTTGTGCAGAACAAGCAAAAGCCAAAGTAATCTGGTTACAGTGCTGATTTTATTGCATTATTTTTTCTATTATTCTAGTTGCCACTTCTTCCTTGTTTGTGTTGTGTAAAACATTTTTTATTCAAATTTATTTGTGTGACATAACCTTTTTTTAGAAGAAAGATGTGTTACACTGACTGTATTCCTACCCTGTTTGAAGAAATTCCCCAACAGCTGCTGCTTTATGGTGTTGCTGAGTTACTTTTTTGTATTTGGCGCACCCCTGCACCCTAAAGATTCTCAAAATTGGACACATTCAATCTCCAACACTGTCTCAACACAGACCTTTGAGAAAGCTTTGAAAATTCAAAAGTCCGTAAGTTGTCAAAATTAAAAAGTTGCGTAATCCTGAATATACAAATTCTTCTTGGGTGTGAAAACCCCAGCCGCAATCCAGCTGAATGAGTTTTCATTTTCTTTTTGTGCTAAGTATTCTTCCCTGTCATTTCTTCATTACAAAATTGGTAGCAGAGCGTGGTTTTATATTTCACGCCTCTGATAAGTTAAAAATTAAGAAAGTTAATCATTTAGTTCAAGTGACTTGTGATTCACCTTGTTTGTGAAAATGCCTAACCAAAGGCAAATGGGAAGAAGGCCAAATTATTGAGTACAGTCTAACAAAATTCTTCCAAAGTCCCCAAATGTTTGTTGTGACCAGATTTTACTATATTTAATTCTAGTTAAAAGTGGTGCATGTATTAATATGACCACAAAATCAAGATGCAGTGTTTTGATTAGTGTGTGATGTACAACTGTTCATGTATCAAAAGTTCATTTTATTTTTGATCTAGGTCAACAAGGTGATCTTGGTGGCATTGGCAAATGGTGCTGTTAGGGGCCCCATTGGCACATCCCAAGTGGCAATGGTAGCTGTCAGGAATAAATCCCAACAAATGAAGATTTTAACTTTAAGGACGTTTTTAGAATGTCCAAAAAGAGTTAATTTGGAAAATGAAACGCAATGATTTGGTTGGGCTGCGACCGGGGTGAGTTCACCCTATTCTAAGTTGGTATATTCATAGAAAGTGATTGATTGTCACTGAAAAACTTGCAAAATCTTGGAGAAGTTGCACACACAAATGCTTGAGATGAACTGTACTCAATCTTGTGGTTTTGCAAAACAGGGAAGCAGTCCTTCAAGGACAAGAATTAGCAACAGGATTTATAGAGAAATGTAGCCTTGAAGGCTTTGGTAAGCAACATGAGAACCAAGGTCTTTTGAGGTTCTCACAGAAAGTAGATTTGTTTCCAAGGACAAGAATTTGGGTTCTCAAACTGACTTGCTAAAAATAGAACTAATAAAAATTTTCAACAGTAGCAAGTTTGAGAAATGTCCCTGTGCTGGTTTGCTGCGAAACTTTCAAGTTTACTGAAACTGTTCAGACTGACTCGTTTCACTTCAACAAACTGGGTGAGTCATTTTCGATTTTTCGATGCATTTTATTTATTTTTTTTTGGCGAGGGTCTTGATGTGAGAAATTGGATGTTCCAGGACCCGAGTCAGATGAGTTGCTGAATTTGACAGAGAACCTGAACTTGAATCCTGGATCGACCAGCAGTGCCCAAATCAAGACCTTGGACCTCGAGTACGTATGACGTGATGCCCGGGGATTTGGTCAGTGCGTTATAGTTACTGAGATTGGAATGTTGCGGTGTTCCTCGGTTCCTGTGGTGAACTTTCTGTAAGATGTTATGGGAAGTAATTGCTTAGGCTCACTGCCAATTGAAAAAGTCTCTTTTATTATTTTCAACATCTGATAAGAGGATTTTAAGATAACAGAGTAAACAATAATTGCATGGAATTTTATTTCAGTGATGCCTGAAGTTTACATGAACTTCATGAATTAAACTAAAATGTTGATAAATACTGTAGCCAAAAGATCAAAATTTCTTTAAACACCTTTTGGTGGCCTTGCAAAAAAAAAAAGAACAACACTAGGATTTATTTACAATAAGGTGGAAAAAATATTTAAAAATTGTATTACCCCCAAATCCAAAAGATCAAAATTTCTTCAAACACCTTATTTTGGTGGCTTTGCAAAAAAAGGAACAACACTAGGATTGATTTACGAGGTGGAAAAATTATTGAAAAAGTGTACCCCCAAATCCAAGTATGAGTGAAAAATATGCATTTATGTTTCCTTCCTCTTCTCAATTATGTGAAATTTGCTTTATAAATTCAACTGGATTTAGCATCCATTTGCTCCTGGCATAATTGTGTTGAATTGTATATATACTGTATATATATATATACGTGCTACTGTTTTGTTTTTTGTTGCAGTGATGGAGTGTGGGTTGAAAAATTGAAATGCACGTGTTTGTTTCACAGGTTTTTGCACCAAAATCATGTCTTTTCTTTATTTTCAAAAGTTGTATATATACTCTGTATATTTTATTAAATCTGTCGAATCAAATATCAAATGGGTCACAACGATGCATTACATTTGCAGAATTTTGGATAAATGCCCATTCTGTGCTTCAGAAATTCACCAACACTAGATTACAAGTTCAAAAATTTATTTCATGCTGTTTAAAAACAAAATCAAATTCAGTACTGACACATTTTGGCAACACTGAAACAACATGAAATTTATCTGCATAAGGGGACAACTTAAGAAATAAACAGCATTTGATTCTTTTTGAGGATAAATTAATTGGTGACTCATTTTCAAATGGCTCCAAGGTCATGGAAATATTGGTAGAAAAAAATACAAGATTTGCGCAGGACTGCTGTAAGAAAGTAGAATTGATCATTTATATGCCAAAGATGAGTAGGGTGATAATTTCTTAGCCTTTTCTTTTGCAGTGGGTGGAATCCTTAATTTCTCATGTACCAGCTGAACAAAAGTTTTCAATGGAACACCAAGCAAAGGAAAGATTATACGAGGGTTCTAACAAAAGTTCTCGGAGTCAACCACAAGCCATTGCTGGAGGTGGATGAACATTTTTTTATTGGATTCCTCATCCTTTTTTAGCCTAGGACCAATTTTTTTGTCATCCCTAGACAATTTTCATTTTCATTCCAAGAACTTCTGTTGGAATGGATGGGCACAGCACCGGAAAAAACTCATTCAACTTTTTTTCCCAGTTTCCAGTTTTGTCTAGGGATGAAAAAAAATTGGTTCTAGCTTAAAAAAGGATGAGGAATCCAATAAAAAAATGTTCATCCATCTCCGGTGATGGCTTGTGGTTGACTCCAAGAACTTGTTAGAACCCTCTAGTGAATACTCCAACCTGTATGTTTAAAAAGTAATACACTAGAAATTTGACCAGGATTTGTTGACAAAACTTTGATGAATCTCTTTTGGAACTACAGTAATAAGAACAGGAGAGAGTAAAATTTAAACTTTCTCTAGGTCAATTCTCAAAAAATAAATCAGCAAAAAATGTCTTTAAGCACCGATTTGATGGTAAACAAAGATGGATGCATCACACATTTATGAAAGAAAATTAGGGTTCATGCTCTTTCAAACATTGAAATAGTAGCGATTGCTCAACAAAAACTGTGGTTCAAATGGTCCTAGCTAACAAACTTGGATAAAACAATACATTAAACACAGAAATACGCCATTTTTGGCTCACTGGGTGTTAGCAGTGAAATACTCCGGAATTTGTTGGTTCAGTTATCAATAAGAGTGGAAAAATTGGGGTTTTTGAGATTGATTTGATGGGAAGTGCGACAATGATGGATTTGTAGACCTATAGGAGGTGTAGCATCTGTTTGATTACAGATGCAGAGCAGAGAAGCGACATCTGCTCGCGACGTTTTAACCTCAGGGGTAAGTATTTCACACACGGGTGTTGGTGACACCAGGATGAATTTTGCAAAAGATTTGAACAAAATTGTCAAACCGGGCTGATTTTTTTTTGAGTGTGCCAAAGAATATTTCTTCCCTGAAGAATAATTTTTTTTCAGTTCAATTGTAGGCCATTTTCATTGCTACTCCTAGAACTTTTGTTAGAACCCTGGTAAATGGCAAATTTGGCCACCAATTACCTTGCTTTGAATTAACCAAGAAGTTTCCAATGCTATGAAATATTTATACGAATAAGCCATTGTGCCCAGTAGGGAAAAGTTTGCTTTAAAAAGTACATACAGTTTATTTACATGCATGCACATCCCTTAGCTCTACAGTATATATAAATTAAATTTGAACGGTTCCAAAAATTTAAGCTGAACACAGCAATCTTTTCGAGATGGATGAATATATCGTATATGCGTCCTGAATTATTCAAGAGTTCTTCATTCATTGCTTTACAACCTACAGGAAATTGATAAATCTTTTGTAGAAATGTATGAAGACAAAAGCGTGCAAAATGCACAATACAGGTACTCAAGAAACTCTTATATAATATAGCTGCATCATCAACCGCAGAAGATATTGTCTCTGTGATATGAAATGACTCAATAAATCATCATGGCCACCCTCTCACTGTCGCATGCTGCTCACCAAACCTGTGAATTTTTTTTCAGCATGGGATTGAGCGTATTGGATGGTTGTATTCGGCGAAGTTTCTGAGTTGCGTGTGTTTTGAAGGACTACCTGATAAAATATTGGTTATTACACCAAAGAACGCCTTCTCTTGAGTTCAGTGTGGGTACATTTGCAGGCTTGAATTCCCTGTGTGCGTAATTTAGCTTTCTATTGTGAAAAAATGGTTTCCGCGAAACTTATTCCGAAGGCTGGCGCCTCTCAGCCGACTAAGAATACGAAGGCTTTTCAGGATAAAGATCGTCCATCGTACATCAGGAACACAAACATCACCGCTGGGAAAGGTTTGTGACTTTAAGATTCCTAATTATTTTCAAGTTTCCTTTGTCCGCTGATGCATGAGACGAGAATATCTGATTATTGCCTCCATTTAAATTTCAGCTGTTGCGGATGCAATCCGTACAAGTCTAGGACCGAAAGGAATGGACAAAATGGTAACATCTTTTTTCGTGTACTTTATCGATTCTGAGTAATATTTTTTCGAATTTTCCAGATTCAATCTGGTAAAGAAGTGACCATAACGAACGATGGTGCAACTATTCTGAAGCAAATGCAAGTGATTCATCCGGCCGCCAAGATGCTTGTTGAATTGTCAAAAGCGCAGGATGTTGAAGCCGGGGATGGAACCACGAGTGTGGTGGTGATCGCTGGGAGCCTGCTTGATGCTTGCCAAAAATTGCTGCAGAAGTAAGCAAATTTGTGATTTAGGACTTATGGTTCGATTTAGAAACAGAAATGTTACGTTTAGCTGTTGCATGCTTAGCCAGTCATGATATTGAGTAATTTCACATATGGTTAATTCCGAAGGGAGTAATTTAGTACCAGATCCATCGATGGAAATTCAGTACTTCGTATGATTTTCTTATCGATCAGTTTTGATGTTAGTTCTGTGGCCCGTCTAAACGGAATTCAGGAGAAATATGAGAAAAATCGCTGTTTTGTGAAGCAATGAATTGCAACAAATCGATGAATGCTACAGTATTCATGCCCATACTGAACTCTGGAATGCTCAAAAAATGTTCCTCTGTTCCGGATAATGGTCAAGGTTCCTCCTATAACTGAGTAATTTCGTTGCAAGAGTATGTTAATTTCTCGAAGCTGGAGGTTTCGTGTCACGTGTGTTCTGGTTAGTGTCCGTTTTTTCGTCCTTCGTGAGTGAGCATCTAGGAAATCCTCTTCGGAGAAAATCTGTCGACTCGTATCGTGATGTAATCGCATCCATTGCGTTAAATTTATGTTTTTTTCGTTCGTTGCATTTTCCAGGGGGATACATCCTACCGTGATCTCGGAAGCTTTCCAAGTCGCTGCGACGAAAAGCGTTGAAATCCTGGAGAAGATGTCGACGCCCGTCGAGCTTTCCGATTCGCAGTCCTTGCTTCAGGCCGCCGTTACTTCGCTAAACTCCAAGGTTGTCTCTCAGCATTCGTCCCTGCTTGCTCCAATGGCCGTGAACGCCGTCATGCGTACGATCGACCCGAAGAAAGACACATATGTTGATCTCGCCGTAAGTTATTTTAGTTCTCACTACCTCTTTGTCCGAGCAGTTTCTTCATATGGTCAATGTTATGAACCTTTCATTACACGGTACATGTGGAATCTCTTCACCGAAATTTAAGTACCAGAAATAATTTTTCGTAGAAATTTCGTTGTGAAGAGTGTCTGTAATCCTCTTTATAAAACCCCATGCGACCAGATGCAATTTGATGTACAGATAAAATTGTTGTAGACATGATTGTTTCAGAGAGAGTCAGTCTGTATGGAACTAATTTTCCCACTTCATCTTATTTTGACACCTTTTTGCCTTGATTATGTGAGCATGGGTCATAGAAATTATTTTTAATTGCGAAATATGGGAGAATCCAACTTGTGCATGATTGAAGATTTATAAAAATGTAATTTGTAGAACTTTTTCCGGTTTTTTCAAAAAGAAAAAGAACTGATTGAAAAGATTCTCATTAGTCTGTGGGAAAACGCGATGGTCCAAAAAATAATTATCTTTGAATCTCGGGGCCCTACTTTTTTATCAAGTACAGTGTTGAAAATATTTGTTGTATGGGATGTAAAGTCAGACTGAGAGCTTCAAATTAGTAAAACAGAAAAACAAACCTCATCTAGTCATGGTTTAAATTTGACGAAATCCCGTCCCATTTAGAGACGTAAGCATGGTGTCTTTTTTCATTATGGTAAATTCGTATTTTGCATGAATCATATTCTAGGCTATCAAAATCATCAAGAAATTGGGTGGAACCGTAGATGACACGGAATTGGTTGAAGGATTAGTCCTGAACCAGAGAACCCAAGGACATGGCGGACCCACAAAAGTCGAAAAGGCAAAAATCGGCTTGATTCAATTCTGTCTCTCTTCGCCGAAGACAGACGTGAGTATTTTGAACTTCATAATTGTTTATCAGCGTCGGAATAAGAGTTTTTGTTTGTTGTATAGATGGACAACCAAGTGATTGTGTCGGATTACACTCAAATGGATCGTGTCCTTCGCGAGGAGCGCGCTTACATCCTGAACATCGTGAAACAGATCAAGAAAGCAGGTTGCAATGTTCTGCTTGTGCAGAAATCGATCCTTCGTGATGCTGTCAGCGATCTCGCCCTTCATTTCCTGGCGAAGATGAAAATCATGGTGGTGAAAGACATTGAGCGAGAGGACATCGAATTCATCAGTCGCGTATGTTTCTTTCATTTATTTTTTTTAATGGATACGATTGAATGATGTAATTTATTGTAGACGATTGGGTCGCGTCCGATTGCGAGCGTGGATCACTTTTTGGCTGATCATCTCGGGAATGCGGAATTGGTCGAAGAAGTTCAGACCTACGGGACTAAGGTTGTCAAGGTGAGATTGAAAGGACAGTCGAACGCGTCAATTTAGATTCTGTTCGTCCATTTCGGTGACAAATGCTAAAGCTTCTGTAGTCGAGTGTGCTGAAAAAAATTTTTGTTGAATGATCCATTGGTTTTAGACCCCCCGACGATCCCCCTTTTAATAGTACCGTATTTACCCGAGTACTATGTACATTTTTTGTGTGTGCAAAATTAAGGCAGTAACGTTATGTGCGTGTGGCATGTTGGTATACATAGTTTGCAGTAAAAATTATGAAACTTGTGGTGCTAGTCATAAGGGAGTCTTCGGATGGGCAAAAAAACGAACGGGAAATTCTTGTACTTATTCTGTTACAATGCTTGAGCGTTTTCATGTCAATTATACTTGTTGAAGTCAACTATCGGAAAGCCGAAATCGGTGCTGATCAAGTTCATTGTTCGAGGCGTCCATTATCTGAAGCAGCTTCGTAATTTTCGCCATCTTTGTGCCGTTAACCTTCTGAATGATGAAAAATATTCTGACTCAAATTCTGAAATCCATAATTTTCGAGAGAGTTGTTGAATGAATGAACAGAACACTTTATTTGCTGCTTTTCAGCATTCACAAGGTTCAATCAAGATTTCCACAACCAAACCCCCTTCCCACCCAAAATATGGTAATTTAAAGCAATAGTATTTTGAAGTTGGAGAAAAAAGGCATGGAGAAAAACTCTTTCAAGGCTATTTATGGTGTGCCCTTTTTTCTGGACAAACAAAAAATCACTCAAATCATTGCATTTTCAAACAAAAAAGTTTTTTTTTCCCTGTTCGCAGCATCCAGGCTTACAGCCTGCACCGGTAGCAACCGCTCCAGCATGATCGGCGGCGGCTACAGACACCAACACGGCGCCTCCGGTGGCGGCCGTTTGATCCGGGAGCGGAAAGCCGCCAAGCAGCTCGGCGTCATCATGGCCGCGTTCATCGTCTGCTGGCTGCCATACTTCATCACATTCATGGTGATTGCGTATTGTCCGGACTGCATAGGGCCCCAAGTGCATCAGGTCACCATTTGGCTGGGATACCTCAATTCCACGCTCAATCCGTTCTTGTATCCTCTGTGCAATGCCAATTTCAAGCGGGCCTTCAAACGCATCCTGCATTTGAGCTCAGAGTGAAGAAAAAACTGTTTTTTTCCTCAAGATTCCTATTTGATGCTTTGGCTGCGAACGCAGAAAACATTGATGAAAGTGGAGAAGGCTTCTTATTATTGGTGTGTTCATCAGCCAAAAATGATTTAATCAAATCGATTGACATTCTGGAAGAAATTCAAGCATTCTTTAGGAATTGTATAGTCGACTGGTGTTGAAGAAATAACATTTCGCGATACAATACATGTTTTTGAAGTTTGACTCATGCTTTAATTTTTTTCTTTACTGCATGGTTTGGTTTACTGGGCAAATGGATCCTTGTATCCAAGTTCAGCATCCTGCACAACTCATCCAAACCTTGCTATATAAGAAACTCCCTATATAAGTCAAATCTTTTTGCTGCTCCCTATTATTGAAAGGCGCCTTATACAAGGATCTTGACAAAATTTTGTGCAATCATGCAAAAGATGTCATACAATTCAGCGGGGGAAAATTTATTCTTTAGGGAAAACATATTCTTTGGCTCAAAAAATCAGACCTGTTTGACAATTTGTTGCAATGTTTTTCAAAATTTACCCCAGCAGAGATTTGCTCTGCACTCAAAAGATGAGGCGCCCGTCCTGCAGATTTTTTGTTGTTGTAGCCCAACTTTCCCCTCAGAATTCTTGAAATCAACGTGGCATTCTTTCTAAGGGTTGCCTCCAGATCTGTCATGGGTACATTGGATCCCAGACAAAGGAATTGAATTGTGCAGCCACCAGAATGCAAGTTTAGAATAAGAACTCAAACTCTTTTCAGAGGAGTTCATTCTCATTGCCCAGTTCATCAATTGGCTGTTAATTCAATGGTTTAATGGCAGAGTCAATGGTTAGCTCAGAATATTGAATGAGGTAATTTAA